ATTTACAAGAAGATGTAGATTTTTGAATTCCTTTTTAAATATAAATTATTTGTACTTAACCTAATCAATACCCCAAATCTAACCAAAACAAAACATAAAAAAATCTTCTTTCACTCTTTGTCACTTAAAGTTTTTTTCAAATATTCCCTTGATAGTTTTGACCTGCATTCTAATGTGATCTATAATTGGGTAATAAGAAATATGTAGGACTTGCTTAATACACAAATATAATATTATATATAATTTAATACAATAGTCAAAAGGATGAATCAATATGTCTTAATGTAAGCTAAATCATTTGAAGTCTTAAACATACTACTTGGAAGATAGCATCAGTAATTCTGTTCACTGGAAGCCACATAATAGGGACCCTGAAAATGTATGAGAGCTGAGTAACATTCATTTTGGAAATTCACTTTCTAAAAACATGTAAATGCAGCCCTGTCCACCTTATAATGCGCTCACCTGATTTACAGCAGACTTTCTCGTGCAGTAGTTATCAGAATCATGCATGGTTAATAATTCAATGTATCAGCCTAATTTGAAACAATTGATTGCTTTATTAAAAAATGTAATTAAGCGATATCCAATCTATTGGGTATTTAAATGTATTAGCATGGTGACAAAACACGTTTAACCAATTTTTAAAGGTTCCCAGTCATCACCACAAAACAGCATGGAGGGAAGAGCAAAGAAACCAAGAGGCACCTGTCTATCTATGCACAGTGTGTTCATTGGATTCACTATATCTTTGGATCAGAGTAATTCTGAAAACAGAGTGTTTGTACAAATAATAAGTACAGACACCACAACAGAGAACCACTCTGTTAAGACAATAGCAAAAAGTTAAAATGTATCTGCTGCTTCATTTCTCCCACAACATTGGAATAATCTGGGAAGCATAAAGACTTCATCTTGTTAATATGTCATTGTCAAAACACATTTGAAACAAATATTAACATACTACATAGTGTCATTGGACCTATAATGCATAGAAACCATTTCCATAATTCAAATATTTAAGGTTACTCAAATACAACTGCCTGCCGCTGGGTTAAATTGAAAATATACAGCAAAAATTATCTGAAGTGGGAAGCTTAAGAACAAATAGTCAATTTCTTATAAGATTAAATTTAAATGTAACTTCTCTCCTGGCTGAGATCCTTCCGGAAATAAATGCAGCAGATGAGTAACATTAACTTCCTTACCCCAAAATTAAAACTTAAGGTGTATCAAAGCCCCGGGACACGTTAGCCACAGGCCTCTCCCTCCCTGCAGAAACCCAATGACGTTAGACTCTCTCGCCTGTTGAGAGGTAGAATTCCACAATGGTTAAACCTAGAGATTCTAGAGATAGCTACTTGGGTTTAAACCTTGACTCTCATTGCCTTTAGGACTTTTGACAAATCACTTAAGATATCAACATTAGTCTACTTACTTTTCAATTAACAGGAATAATAAATAAAGATCTATCTCTAAGCATTACTGTGACAGTTAAATGGTTGGTTAAGTGCAAAGCACTTTACAGCAGTGCCTGGTTCATAGGGTGAACTGTGTAAATGTAAGTTCATTGCATCATTTACCCCCATCCCCGTTCTAGGTGCCCGGGGTCTCTTTCTATGGGGGAAAGCCTTTCAATGAAGCTTAAGGCAAAATCAGGGCAGAGACATAGAATTTAGGTGACTAATGACTTATTTGAGAATCTTGGGGATGTGGACTCAATAAGTAGCATCGTAATTCCCATCAAAATTCAACCTTCGGGAGCATAGAACAAGGCAGCAATCAAGGGTCAGGCTTTTATATTCTTGATTTTTTTTTCTCCTTCTTTGATTATTCTTATAGTAGAATATTATAGGTCCGCTTTCAATTTGGTTTATGGTATTTGTTCTCAGTCTGTCTCCCAAGAAAATACCCAGAAAATGTTTGAATCTTGACAGTAACTCTAGTTATCATTTTAGAGATAAAATAACTCAATTGAAAAATGGTTACTTGATCTTTTTTAGATCACACAAGTAATCATAACTGTTAATCCCATATTGGAATCAGCTAGTCAGTCTTCCAGTAAAACTCAGAGATTAAAATATTTCTATTTGGAATTTCACTGTATCAAACCAATCAAAGAGAAATTCAGTAAAATAATAATAATAATAATAATAATAATAATAATAATAATAATAATAATAATAAAAAAATGGCTGAGTGATAGGAAAAATGAAAGATTTTAGAATTTCAAACGATCACATTGTCCCAGTTGAAATCATAAGGCAAGACTTGTAATGCAAATGTCTAAGAAAATTTCACATTCTGATGGCATCAAAAAGTGTGTTTTCCTATGTCAGTTTGCTTCTCTGTTATTCTCTGTTCAGTGTTCATGGTACCAGTTTTGTCAATGTGATTGTATTGTCAATGTGATTGTATTGTCAATGTGAATAGCCATCTGGGAATTCATCCTAGACTTTCCCTTCTCTGTTGACCTTGCTTCTTCACAAAAGAGCCAATTATTATTCTCCAAAATCCTTCTTCATCTCCTCTCTAGTGCCTTTCTTTCCACATCTCTAGCTCACTTCAAGCTCTTACTAGTTTGTCCAGATAGTCTCTTGATCTCCTTTTTCAGTAATTTTCCATCAAAGTCAGAGAATTCCAAAGCTTTAGCATTAAATACAAAAGCCCTGTCTAGTGAGACCCAACTTACATGTCACACTGTATTTTTCACTACCCCCGCACCAGCACCTCACACCCGTCACAGCAGCCCTACACAAATGTTGGCTGAAGTGCTCACATGTTCTCCTGTTCCCATGCCTTTGGTGCCCTTTTCTTCCTCCTCCACATCACTTCTTAAGATAAGAGTCAAATATTTCCTGCTCTGAATTTCCATATTCTGGGTTAGCCACTGGGGAAATTATTGTTTTGTTGTTGTTTTCGGCTCAGATTCCTTTCTTTACCTCTTATTAAAGTAGGAGGACAGTTGGCCCTGCTTGGCCAGTCACACTATCCCCACTTCCCTGGTAATAGCTATCGGTCTAGAACAGATTTAGCCTGTCCAATCAGGCTAAACGCTGATATTTTTCTTACAGTACTAACAAGAAAACTCTCTTCTTCCTCGCACATGGAACAGGAAACATGTGAACCTGGGTCAGCTAGCGGCCGTATGTGCCATCACATGAATAAGGCCAGTCTGTAGAATAAAGGATGATGCCCAGTCCAGAGGAAAGACACGTAGAAAAATAGTACTGGCAGAGGTGAATTCCTCTTCCAAACCCTGAAGTTTTCAGATATGCCAGGGTTGCTATAGAACTTCCTTTATATGTGAGAGAATCTTTGATATTTTTTCCAACATACCTTTTTTTTGTATAGTCAGCTTAGTTAGGATTCTGTAACTCGCAACCATAAAGTCCCAACTGAAAAAAATACCCAAGCTGGACCACGTGCTATCAGAGCATTCTCATTTTTTTTTTATTGTATCGTATTTGTTTATTTTATTCCTCAAAAAAACCTGAAAGTTTAAGAGGAGAGGATAGTGCCTCATATATGACTCTGCAAATATTAACACAATAAATAAAACGTAATTGTTGAATAGATATGTTAACAGATTACTAATTTAGCAAAGCTCCAAAAATAAAGAAAAATTACACTCATTATATAAAATTATGAATCTTGAAATAGTAAAATTTTATAAATCAACTTTTTAATCTTTTCTTATAATAAAATTATAAATTATAATATTTGACTGCAGTAGTCATAAAATCCAATGTTATCATTTTGCAGATGAAAGATTTAGGCCCCCAAATGATGCAACTTGACCAAGATCACAATGTTGACAATCTTCTCAATATACTGACAAGGGGCCAAAAAAAAGTAATTTTATACTACTTGCTTGGAATACATGTCCAAGCAAAAGTAGTAATTCAATAAGTTAGATACAGCTACTTTTTATTTACTTACAGCTTCCTTTATTTATATTTATTGTTTCTACTTTTAATAATAATTTTTTCAGGAATTTAAACTCTAGTCACTATAAAAAATAGATTTTTTTGTCTTCTATATATTTATGTTTGTCCAACAGAGAGTAAATCAATAGTAAAGAGGAGAGTGAGTCTGTCAATATGACACTCCAGGACACATAACTGATTCTTAAGCTTTGACATTTGTCTTAAGAAATACTGTGTGCATCATCCATCAAGACTTTTTAAAGATTTTTTTTTCCATTAGAAATGAACAGTGAAAGTTGATGTGAATCAATCTTACGCAATTTTCTCTGAGATAGGCTTCTCAAGGAGTACTTTGTGAGAAGTGAAATATTTCAGAAACAGGCATAAATGTTTTTGCATTAAATTTATAAAGAATTCTAAATCAGATGAAGAACAGGTTAAATTTTAAAAGGAAGTTTTCTTTTTTAGTAAAAAATATTTCCCTTAAAAAACCTAGTTTAAGCTGTTTATATGAAAATTCCATCAGTAAACTTAAGGATTAATTTTATCTGTTAAATTTCATATCTGCAAAAAAACAACTCCTTTGTTTTACTCACGCAAAACATCTAATTTTCCAATAAAAAGTTCACCACACATCAAAATATACCCCAAATTTGATCACTCCTCACCACCTCCATTGCTGTCACCTTCATTCAAGCCACCATCATTTCTCAGCTGAATTATTTCAGTAGAGTTTTACTGTCTTGATACCCCATCTCCAGCTTTCTGTTCTATATACACTATTCACAGGGTTTCTACTAAAACATAGCTCTGATTTTGTCCCTCTTGTGTCTTCCCAGCTTATCCAGAGAAATGGTAGGCTGTATGATGACCTATCAGGCCTGCACAATCTAGCAGTTTCATCCCAGATTTCCAATTACCGAATCCTCACCATGCTTCTAATCATCTTTTCTTCCTTACTGTTCTGTGAATACGTAATGCATGCCCATAATTCAGGACATGCACTTTCTCTTCCCTCTGAATTGCTTGGCACCTTATTATTTATACATCTTGCTTATTTCTTTCTTTCAGGTATCTGCACAAATGTCACCTGTTCAGAGAGACCTGGATTGACCATTGTATGTAAAATTAGCCACCCTTCTGTAAAATGCTTTGCTTTCTCATAGCACGTATCACTAGCTAATATGTTGAATGTTTATTTTCTATCTCTATTCGTACAACATAAGCTTCATGAGGACAGGGACATCATCTGTTTTGTTTGCTGCTATAGCCTCAGAAACAAGGGCTCAAAAATATTTACTGGATGAAAGAATAAATAGATAATGAATGAACGAGATGGAATACTATGCAACCATAAAAAAGAACAGAATAATGCCATTTGCTGCAACATGGATGG